GAAGCTACCAACCATTTCTGATATTTACATATTTAATGTAGAAAACATTAACTTAATCGCACCTTCAAGAATGAGGACCAATCATCTGGAAGAAGGGAATAATACATTATTAGATCTTGGAGCAAAACAATATCAAAATTAAAAATAAACTATGCAAGTCTAATGTAACGAATGAGCATGAGCAACACAAACGAACACACAGTCCACCTGATAGCAAGTGGACGCTGTGGCCCATTGACATCTACATTTATCCTCGATTAGGAATGAAAATGAAGATGCGTTGTCGTCCCTGAGTACTAAGACAGAATGCTCTCCTTTCCAGCTCTCTTCACTTACCATATGAAACACACCAGTATAAAGCAGCTATTTTACGCTGGTATACTGTAAGAGCGTGGTTCTACCCTGGTCGAATCAACCCATTCGTGCTAAAATTAATATAGCTACAGCGTGGCTCTTACAAACTTATTAGTGTAGTAAATCAAAACGTACTTAGTGACGACACTTTAGACAAAATACCAACCGAATGCATTTATTTCTATGTATATTGAAACAAATGACGAACATGTCTCCAAGTATGTAGTACAATATTATGTAGTGTCTTCTCCGCATCCACTGTTGTGAAAACGCGCACTTTGTAAAAAACAATGAGTAGACCAGAAAAAAAACTTTACAATTGTGGATATTCACCTCTTGGTATCTTTTGGATCTAGTAGGAATCCTGCAACCGTCATCAAGATGTTTACTTTAAAAATTCAACACTGAGGAAATATTTAATAATTTTCGGTGCTATGGGTTAATTGAGTAAAAATATGTTGCTTTTATTACTGTAATTTAGCGTGTTATGCATACGTGTACACGCTAGCAGCGTATTATAGCTGCAATACTTATAGTAGGTGGGTCTCACCAGAAAAGATCCAGGCTCGCATAAAATACCAGCGTAAAATAGTACCCATTTGAAGGGTTATAACCACAAAGAGAATTCGCTGCCCCATTTCATCCTATTGATGTCGTAAGAGGCAACAAAGAAAAATGAAAAAGATAGTGAGCAGCAAAATCTATGTGACTTTGATGGGCTGCCAATCTTTTGTTTCATTTAGTTTAGGTTGGTTATTGAGCAGATCATGGCATTCAGGAGTTACTCGATAACTACAAAAGTTAGTATCAGTGCCAGAGGTTGGTATAATACCAAAAGTTGTAATAAAAACAAAATAGCAATACACATAACGCACTATGCTTGTGTTATGTGCAAAGAAAGTTTTCATTTGTAATACTATTAAAGGAGTAAATAATATCGAAATACCTATGTCGAGAAAAATAGCTTTCTATTGAAACCTCATTTATTTTGATAATAATATTAAAGGAGTATATAATATCGAAATATATCGAGAAAATTTGCTTTCTATTGAAACCTCAAATAGAAAGCTAAAACTCGTATGTAATGATTTCTTATATTTACGCGAACAATACACATTGAATGAAACTACTTTTACGGATTTTATCGCGTTTAATTAACTTATTTTATATTCCCGACGTTTCGGTTGCTTTCCAGCAATCGTGGTCACGGGGGACTGTGGTGATTGACGTCCCGATGTCAGTGTTAACTCGGAGTACCTTCAGCTTTTTTAATAAATAATTTTGGTCCGATCTACGCAGAATGAACTAATTGTGTCTTGAAGTCTTGCAGTGGTATGCTTGGGTTTAATTTTATGAATTACAGGATCCCAAGCAGGTGGTAGTACCCAGCCTCCCTCTCTATTGAAATTAGAATGTTTTTTAATTACAAGACACAGTTAGTTCATTCTGCGTCGATCGGACCGAAATTATTAAAAAAATATTATTAATTAAAAAAGCTGAAGGTACTCCGGTTTAACTCTGACATCGGGACGTCAATCACCTCAGTTCCCCGTGACCACGGTTGCTGGAAAGCAACCGAAACGTTGGGAATATAAAATAAGTTAATTAAACGCGATAAAATCCGTAAAAATAGTACTCGTATGATTGTTGCATTATTTGACATATTTTTCGTGAAAAGTTGTGATTTTGATATTACGACAGTATTCGCTGGGGTTATATCATATTATTTTAATAAAATTAATATAGTATAAGCCTTAATTTCAGTAGATTATCATCTATCCACCGCTCAAATGGAGGGCAAGTATATTTTAAAACGCGCGTGTACGTACACGCACGCAATTTTACGTATCTTTATTCTCATCAGGAAAATTAATCTTGAGTAATGTAGGATGGAGGATGATACCGTTTAGTGGCGGTGTAGGAATACCCACTACCCCATATCTTCCTCGCGGGTGTCGTAAGAGGTGGCAGAGAGGAAGAAATCAGATCTAATAACATAATCATTCCTAATAACAATTAAAAATAAAAAACTGCGGTTGCCAACCCGTTTGCCAAGCGTGAACACTATGGCAAATATCGCCTCTATAGGGCTATCTATGGGGAGGCTTATAGTCAGCAGTGAACTTTAATATGTTGTAACGGTAATGTAGTATATTTAAGAATGAACTAATTTAAATTTAAAAATAACACTTTTAGTCCGCTTATAAATTTAATTAAAGGATCAAATTTTATCGAATATAGAGACTATAGGTTGTTGCTATTTTCCTTTCTTTGTTTTTATTTATTATCTGCTCATATTCATATTATTAAATAAAGTCCAGCAGCTGAGTGAAATTTCTTTGTCAAAGACCTTACAAGAATGTCTGATAGTGAACTTAAGATAAGAGGTGACTCGTTTTCAATTTAACAAACTTTACCTAACACCCGTATGTAATTACTTAAACAAGCTTGAGTGCACAGTGTTCATTAACATAAAAGTCAATTATTCCTTGCATCAAGGAGCAAAATAATCTTGAATTATGTAGTATTCAAAAGATGCAAAAACAAGAAAATATAAAAATTATGAAATGTACTGTCATATCATCATTAATTTTTTTAGCAACGCAAAGGTAATGTATTATAATGTCCGGTTTATGTTATTATTTATATAAACTCCTAGCCGGCCAGACAGACCTCTCCGACAATCCTTTGTCCTATAAAAAATATTACATTCGTAATAAAAATATTGAAGGTCACTTATCGGGATAACACTATCATAATTCATAAGTTGGACCGAACTGCACACAGTGTGCAAAATTTCACTGAAATCAGTTCAGTAGTTTAAGAGTTCATTGCGGACAAACAATGTGACACATAATTATTATACATAAAGACTAGCTGGTACTCGGCGCGTTGCTGCCGCAGAATAAATAATTGTGGAAATATCGTTAGGCTTCATACGTGGTAGAGCCATGCTGCAGCTATATTTCTGGTATAGTTGTAACACGAATGGGTCGGCTTGACCGGGGAAGGACCACGGTCTCACAGAATACCAGCGTAAAATAGTAGCTTATTGCTACTGTGTTTCGTATGGTGAGTGTAGAGAACCGGAGACCCTTTTTACTGGAAACGAGGCATTCCATCTTAGTCCTCACGGGTGACAACGCATCTGCATTTTGATTCGTAATCGAGGATAAATGTAGATGTCTATGGGCCACAGCAACCACTTACCATCAGGTGGACTGTGTGCACGTTTGTCACCTTTATCCTATAAAAAAAAGGCTTATATTGTTTAATTAGGAATGATAATACATCCATTGAAGTTCTTGCACTATGCCTATAACTTGCCCGCAAGTGCAAGCAATAAGTTGACAAAGTTTTAGGGCAATCTGATGAACGGTATGGCAGCGCATAAAATACGATATGATTTGTGGCGTGTAATGTTTGTTAAAATTCACTAGTATATATGTATATTCCCATTTCAATGAATGATATATTTTAAGAATTGCTCTTTGTTTCATGTTCTTTTAATCATGTAGCCTTTATGCAGCAGTACTGTGCTAATTTTGCACACTAGTATTAGGTGAAAGCATGATCTTTCCCCGTTCGAGCCGAACAATCGTGCAGCAGCCACAAAGCAAACTAGAACATTGATTTGTTACATATATATATAACCTCTAAAAGTAATATTTTTAGCAATTCTATCAAAATTTGAAAAAGGCATAAAATACTTTCCTCTCCAATAATGGACTAATTATTGGTTCATTAGTTTTTAAACCTTAACATTCTTCTGGCACAAATTTTTCTATCAGGGAGTCAACCCCGGGAACATAGGAATATCGGTACTCAAGATTCTTTATTTTGTAAAACATTAGGAAAGTGGCAAAACGAAATTAACTTTTTATTCTTAAACCCTGTGGGTTTCGTCAGAGGCATTCATCATTCAATCATTAATTACAGCAACATAGGTTAGGATATATAGATTGCCTCATAGTTCCACGCTTGGCAAGCGGGTTGGTAACCGCGATTTTTTGTTATTTTGCTGTTATCAGAAAGATGCTGCTGCCCATCTCCTGTCTCAGTTTCCTTCTGCCATCTCTTACGCGACTGCATTGGATGACACCGTCACTACACGGGCGTAGATTCTACTTTGTAAAAAGTTGGAAAGATCTCATGGCTTCCATTACGCGCAGTATAACCATTTCGTTTACTCTTGATGGTAATAAACAGACCAGCAACGGGAAGAGCCATTTTGCAGCTACATATATATACGATATTTTTGTAGCACTAACGGGTCGGCTCGACCGGGGTGCCATCACGCTCTCACAGAATACCAGCATAAAATAGCAGCTTAATTCTGTTCTGTTTCATATGGTGAGTATAGAGAACTAGGAACCTTTTTTACTAGAAACGAGGCATTCCATCTTAGTCCTCACGGGTGACAACGCATCTGCATTTAGATTCGTAATCGAGGATAGATGTAGATGCAACAGCAACCACTTGCCATCAGGTGGAGTGTTTGCTCGTTTGTTACCTTTATTCTATTAAAAAACCTGTGAAGCGTGGTGATTGAGGCAATTCTTCCCTACAAAGGGATGGGCTCCAGTAAACTTATACAAGTTAATAAGATAGGAAAGGCTTAAAACCAATTAAATCTAACGTTTTACCTTGCAGGACTTCAATGTACTGAGTAGACTCGGAAGCAGTACAGCAGCCACTAAGAGTAGCTTCTTTATCAATAACACAATAAGAAGAATAGGGATAAGAAGAACTTTGGTCTTCAATGTCGCTAGTAGGTTCAGGAGGGGAATCATGATCGCCAGTTTTTTCTTTTTGCCTCTAGCTGAAAAAATAATCAACCAATAAAGTTAATTTTAAATATTGTTATTTATTTATCTTTATTTTTACATTATAATATATTTTTAAACAAATAAAAATATGGTTATTTTCATACTAGGTGGTAGAGCTACTTAACAATCGAGCGTCTAGGTAACTATCAAGTACTTAATAATGCTGCCAATTAGCAGCGCTTGATTTGCTGTTCCGGTCTAAAAAAATAATCAAGCGACACAGTTCATTTTAAATAGCAAATCCATATTTTTACATTATAATATATATTTAAACAAATAAAAATATGGTTATATTCATACGAGGTGGTAGAGGTCTGGGTAACTATCAATTACTTATTTATGCCGTAAATTAGCAGCGCTTGATTTGCTGTTCCGGTCTAAAAAGTAGACAGTGGCAGTATAATTACGAAGATGTGAAGGTGTGACACATGTGTGGTTTTCTTTGTATGAAGTTGGCTGCAGATGTTAATGGACCGCAGTAACCACTTACCAACAGGTGAACTGTGAGTTCGTTTGTCACTTCTAAAAATAAAAAATAAACTGTGATCGTCAAGCGTGGCTACTATGGCAAATATCCTCCCTATGAGGCAATCTATGGAGATTCATCAGAGTAGTTTAATAGGTTGTTACGGTAACATCTATTTTCTTTACATTCAGTTCAATATCGCCATATGTAATGACACAAATATCGTCCATAATATGACTTTTATATAAGTTTTAACATTTTATATATTATCTAATGTTGTTAGTTATTATAAAAAATCACTGAAATGTATTAGAAATATTTTATTTGCTCAGATAATATTCAAGCTTTCGCACGATGTTCTCCTTCACCGCAGGGCATGATAAATTTCTTAAAATTGAAACTAACACTTTCATGGTTGCCGCTGGAATCTAATTTGGTGTGCACACCTAGATGAATTCGATGTGCTCACGTAGATACTGTAAAATTTTGCATTCGTTTTCGACTGATTATAAAATATAATTTGCGTATTATTTCAACAATACTCTAAGATAATATGTATCATTGATAATAAATACATCATCACCATCATTACATTCTATCAAAGGGCCACAGTTGCACATAGCCTTCCTTAATAGTTTGACCTGAAAGGGACTATTTGCCATAGGACATGTGAGTGTCTTAAAAGGTGACATAGAAATGCCCGAAAAATATTGATTTGTAAGTTATATTGTATAAAAATCGCGTACCAGTAACCGGAGGTAAACGTCGAATGTGCGAGACTTATACTGAGATCCGATTTTGTGGTGGAATTTGCAAATCTACATAATAATAGTTATGATATTTATGTTTTACTTATGAAACACCTTTTTTGACATTTATAATATTTTTATCGTTTTATTCGTGGAAGTGTTCGACATTCCACACACGAAACGTGCACATGGACAAATACTCTGGCTATACAAAAAAATTGTTCGAATTTGTAGGCCATCTCTTCCGTAGAGGAATCGAAGCCATGGCAGGCCTCTATCACTCTTGCTACCTGCGTGAAATAATTACCTACAATCGCGAGCTGCCCCGGGGGTAGATCGCATTCGGGGCTAGCGCACTATGTACGACTGAATGTTAAGGTTTTTTTAACGGTGTTTACGTAAATATATTTTTGTAAATACTTGTTGAAATACTCGTCGAAATAGTTTTTGTTTAGTGTTTAGTATATTTAATTGTAGGATAAAATAGTTGAAAAAGCTTTAATGTAATTTAAAAATTATATACATATATGTATATTACCTATCTATTTGATAAATTATAATGGCAAAACGTCGTACCTACTATAATTGTTGCGGGGATAGATGCTTAATGAGCAATTAAAAGGATTCAGATATATTATTTTTTGAGTTACCGAAGGATAATAAATTTATTTCATTTTTTGTTAGATAAGTACTTATAGCGAATAATTAAGTAATAATTTAACTACAGAAGTAATACCTAAATACTTTATTACAAAACTTAGTTGATATTTACTTCACAATCCAAGTACCTACTTACATACCTATACTCGTCTTTGTATTTAAAATATTGTAAGTTATAATAGCACAAAATACTGAAATTAAAACTTTGTTTACAAGATTTTCAACTAAGTAGATTACGATCACATTTCTGCTAGGAATCGTTTTTCGGGTTTATTTTACCGACGAATGGCATTGCAAGTTTCATGCGTTGGGCATCACAGAACTCACATAGTAGGTAATATGGTCGATTATAGTCAGCATAGGTACTTTAACTAAGTAATATACCATATCACAATGTATTTTTTTACTCTTTATTAACAGCCCTTAGCAACCACGGAAAGTCCGTTGTGACGTAGTAAGCAGAAAAGATGCAAAGTAATACGGAACCTCGCGCGCAGAGATTTCATTTAGCTTGCGTGCACGATTTATCTGATTAATAATAACTATGTAAGGTATTAAAACGTCGGCAAGCAGTCAACATCAAAAGAGGTGCAACTTCTGTACGTTAGTACTATTATTTATTCTGTGGCCGTGGCTCAAAGAGCCGCAACTTAGCTACAATAGACACATAGCTTAGTTACGTTACCGAGCCGTCACTTTTTAAACGATCCCTTTTCACTGGAGACGAGGGATTCCAATTTAGCCCTCAGGGATAACAACGCATTTGCATTTTGATTCTTAACGATGGATCTATAGGCCAAAGAGGGTACGATGATAAAAGACATATATTTAAAACATATTATGTTAAATTTAGCGAATTTTTAAAGATTTAAAGCGACAGTAGCGTAATGGCAATGTGCAGCCCGCGAAAACAAAAGGTCGTAGGTTCAAATCCGGCATTCGACTACTGTTGTAAATCACTCCTAACTTAATATTTTTAAAGCTAACCAGGAGTGGTTAAAGGGTATATTAGTAATATTAATAACATTGCTAGTGTTTTTATTAAAAAAAAACGTATAAATTATTTTATACATATATAGCAGGAGCAAGGAGCAAACGAGCATGTGGTTCACCTGTTGGTAAGTACATTATGGGATTGCCATTTTAGAAGAAAGTAGTTTCTTTCCTTAAAGAAACAAAAATCTCTGGTTGTAGAATTACAAAGAAGTTGTGCAAGGAAAATACTTCTGGTAATCCACAGAGTGGTGAACCCCCAATAGTCCTGATGGTATATACGGTAACAATAACCTTGTCTTGCCCATCCAATCAAAAAATAAATTAGTGTCGCATTTGTTGTTTTCAACCTTGACCAACCTGGCATAGAATCCCACGCTTTAGCTGAATTAATGCCGAGACAGCAGACTAAAATAACAGTTATATTGACACAAAATTTTGTGTAATCAATTACTTGCAATTTTTGTGGTCCAGTTTTATTTACTATTTCCATTTTTGGTTCGGTTATGGGTCATCGGCTAACGAGACGGTTCAAATTTAATAAAGGTAACAAGATCATGGCCGAATTAAGCGTATTTAACAAAGTGAACAATACCGTGTTGCGTCATATGCGTGCTTCTTAGTGCAGATAATCTCTCTTATTATATAAGGTTTTACACCTGTTATTTTTAAATTTCATTGTTCATCATCATTACAGCCCTTCACAAGTCCACTGCTGAACATAGGCCTCCCCCAAAGAATGCCACAAAGCACGGTCCTGACCCACCTGCATCCATCGACTTCCTGCATGTCTTACCAGGTCGTCACTCCATCTCGTGGGTTGACGCCCTACACTTCGCCTACCGGTATTTTCGTTGTTAGTTAAACGAAATTATTAAATTAAATAATTGCCTATTTAAAGTATTTGTGAACCTTTTTCTACCCCTAGGAATAACCATTTAATTAGGAATTCAATTATATTCTATTTATATTCTCTTGTTTGTGTTTGTAATAATTTGTCATTTTTTTAAAAAAATAACAAATTTAATTAATCCATCTAAAAATCACAGATAGAATCTGTTATAGACGAAAAGAAACCAAGGTGATTTCGAAGCCTATGTTCAGCAGTGGACTTAATAGGCTGTATGAAATTAATGAAAAAAAATAAATAGTTTGAATATATGTATGTACGACACTTAACACGAATCTAAGCTAACGAATATAATAAAGAAAAAGATATCATAAAAGGAATGTCAAAATATATGTTTCCTTTTTTCCTTTTCCTAGATTTTATTGAAACGAAAATTAAGTATCAAGGAAACGTCCTAAAAAGAAGAAGGATATTCCGGGTGGTGTCAATCAAAAAGACTTATTTTCAATTTTTACATTGAACCAGTATTATTAATATTTTATTTCTAAATCAATGCACGGAAGTAAACTATATTCACTGCCCTATATTATTTTTTTATAGGAATAGGGTGCCAAAGGTGTATACAGTCCACCTGATAGTAAGTGTCTGCTGTAGCCCATAGAAATCTACATCTATCATCGATTACAAATCAAAATGCAGATGCGTCGTCGCCCGTGAGGACTAAAATGGAATACCAGAAGTTTCTCTCTTACTTAAAAGTTTTATTAAAGAAAAATTGTACAAAAAGGGTTATTATTATATCAAGGAATATATGAATGAAAATAACCCCTGGGAATAAGGTGATCGCCACCATGCTGGTTCTATGAATAATCATTTAAAAATTGTATAAAAGAAATTATTGTTAAGTAAAATATGAAAAAAAAGGTCCCGCTGGGTTTCTTGTTGGTTCTTCCCAGGACAGAGGTATTATCCAAACGAGTGGTAAATAAAAAAAAACTTTCAATAAGTATTATGTAATATATAATTGAATAAAATATTATTCTATTCTATTCTAATCTTTGCGACGATTTGTGGTGTAATACCGAAAAGATCCTGAACATTTTCACAGGCTGAAGATTTATGACATCAATCAATTCATTGCTCATAATGATCAACAATGATTATAGAAAGGGTCCAGTTCCCTACACTCACCATACGAAACACAGGATAGTTAAGCTGCTATTTTACGCTGGTATTCTGCGATATTATTTCATGGGTGTCGTAAGAGGCAACAGA